CACACAGACACCACACATCAGCACTGAGTGTATTACGTGATGAAGAACTGCTTTGGGAGATTTTGCTAAATAAAATATTCACCACTTACTTTTCATCATGGTGGCATATTTACAAGTGTGATATACTGCCTAAATATTTATGCAGTTATTTATCTGACATTAACTCTTAATGTAGTCCCTAAAAACACTAAGCTTGACTTCACAAGTTAATCCTTCAGATGTTATAATACTGATACTGGAAACATGAGTATGTTGAGTGGTTGCTAGATCTAGTGTTTTGTTGGGAAACTAACTGATTAATGCTTTTGTAAAGTTTATTAGGAAAATATGACAATGAGCGCTTTCATCAGTGAGTTCATTTAAATAGGCCAAACACGTATTTCAGGAAAGAATGGTGAAATTATTTTTATTTGTACACTTCCTTAGAAAAAAATCATGTGGGGTTGCATTCAATTCTCAAGAACACGATTTATCACAGTTGCTCAAATTTCCACTGAAATGACCCTTCTCATCTCTCCCCTCCTTCTGTGGCACTCTTCTTTATCTGCCTCTTAGATTGTTCCCATTCAATATTGGTATCAAGTGTGAGCTTACTCTTGCTGGCTTATAGTGAAGGTATTTCCGGTCATTATATTTAGTAAATGACGTCTGTGCTGTAGATATGTTTAACTTCTGCTTCCTGATGCCAGCTTTGTGCAAAATCTGTTTACAGTAAGATCAAACAAGATCTGCAAACTATTTCCAACAAGGCAAAAGTGTTTAAGGTTTTGCCAACAATGAGCGATTTAGTGGTGGGTTTAGGGTGCTGTGCATTCAAAGGGTGACATGCTGTTTTCTATCGATTCAGAAAAAAGGTTAAAAGGGAAAAAGAAGCCCCAGACATTTACATTTTCAAAAACATTTATTAATATTTTAGAATTTGAAGTCCTTTGTCATCACATGGCATCTGTACCTGAACGGTAAATAAAATGAAGGGCATGTCCTTCCACAGAAAAAACTGTTTGTAACATGTAATATTTCTGCAGTGCTGTGGACACTTTCCCTTTTCCTTCCACTGTTAATGCAATCTGCAAAGTTCCGGTAAACCTCTCACTGTACATTCACGTGTCATGCTTAAACCGTCTCTGCTTGGCTCAGCTTTCAGCTTTCACTTGATGGAAGCCGTGATCCTCGCCCTCCTCAGCTTTGAGCGCAATGCTGTTCGTCCTCTTCGCCCTGCGTCTGATGGCGCGATCCGCCAGAAAGACCACGAGAACGATAAAAACCGCAGTGAAAATTATTATTCCCACCAGACCCCCCGGTGGCACTCCCCCCGAGGGCTGCCTGGTTGGATCTGGATATGGTACCGATACGGTAGTGGGAGTGTCTGGTGCCGATGTCCCTTCAGAGCTGTCGTCATCGCTTTCTACGCACTTGTATCCGTCCACTAGCACATATCCCAGAGAGCAGAAGCACACGTAGCTCCCGAATGTGTTCTGACATTTCTGTTCGCAGTAAAGGTCACTGCATTCGTCCATGTCTATGCACACGGTACTGTCCACTCTCTCCTCGACTACGTAGCCGTCGGGACAGTAACACTGGAAATTATTGTTCGGGTCACACTCCGCGGGGCATTCCTCCTTCCCGCAGAACAGTTTGCACTTATTCGCTGACTTCGGGTCCACTCGGTATCCATCATAACACGAGCACTTGTAGCTACCGTGGGTGTTGTGACACTCATGCTCACACGGACCAGACACGCACTCGTTCACGTCGACGCACTGGCCGTTGCGCGTGGAGTATCCCGCCTTGCAGATGCATTCGAACCCGCCGGGTTTGTTGACGCACACGGAGTTCTCCCCGGGACACTGCCGTGGGTCGTTGCAGTCATTGAAGTCCACGCACGACCTGCCGTCATCCGCCAGCTGAAAGCCACGATCACACATGCACGCGTAGGAGTCTCCGTTCATGTAGCAGATCTGCTCGCAGCTCAGCGCCAGACACGGGTCTCCCACGAGCTGCTGCTCGCAGGTCACTTTATTCGCAGGATTAAGAGTTTTTCCTGGTGGGCAGTAGCACGAAGGCATCTTGTTAGGACTCTCCGTGCATTTATATTCACACCCGCCTTCGTCCATCTCGCAGTTCCAGGGCGCCGGCTGCCACATCTCTGCGTAGCACAGATATTTGGTCTCAGATGGCATCCGGAGAGCGGTGCTTCCAGGAGGCGCAGACAGCAAGTCTCTGACCACAAACCCATACGGAGTGGTGTACATGACAGTCTGTCCCGGTGACTCTTCTTGACTTTGGCACATGCCAACGCTGGTGTACTCACAGAGAAACCCGGCTGCCTGATCCTGGCACGGTTTCTGGCTCCATCTGAAGTCCAATTCTGGGGAAACTGAGACGCAGCGCTGAGAAGAGCAGTTCATGTTAAAGTCTGGCAGCCAGTTTGAGAAGTCACTCTCGTCGTCTTTAGTCACCCACTCGTAGCCCCTCAGCCTGGCAAAGGGGTCTGGGCAGCGGAGTGGTCGATGTAAACCGATCCAGAAGCTCCCCTTAAAGTTTCCCAGCAGAACAGAAAGAACATCGTGTTCTACAGATGAGCGCACGGTCATTAGTTGCCCCTCTTGATCTCTACATTCATTTTGCGCTCTGCTGAAATCGTTCGGGTCTCTGAACACAGCAAAACACTGGTTATTGATGCAGTACCCCCCACTCGGGGCTATACTGCCGACTCTGTTCACCAGCGAGAGCAGCAGCAGGACCGCCAACTGCAGGACAGGATTCATGTTTGACCCTCGGCTGTCTTCCTTTAAGTTTATGTGCGTCCCGTCAGAGTATGGGCCTGTTTGTGTGAAGAACCCTTTAGCTGGCATTTATAGCCCATCAACTCCATGTCAGTGTCCCGACAGAGGAAGGAAGTCGCTCTTAATCAGCCGGCTGCTCCTCACTTTGCCCCTCAGCTCTCTGAGCGGGCTAGACCACATCCCCACAATTACGCACGGCTTTTACGCACGTACGCAGCAAAGCTGCACGTAAGGGGGGGCGGAGGTCATCAAACGGACCCCTCCCCTCTGTTTGCAATAAACCCCTCCCATCTCTCTCTCTATGTAGCATGTCTGTTATCGAGCAGCATTTCTGGGGTCAGATGCTTTAACCCCGCTTCCCTCAGGTTCTACAGTTTTTACATGGTTTTTTGGGCATTCAAGTATTACTATCTCACAACAAGGTAGAATAAGAACGAAATTAACAGCTGTAAAGTGTTGACTTTCATGTAAGACAAGAGATAAGCCTTTTAAAAGCAGAATTCCATGCATTTTTGCTTGGCTCTGTTGTTGTGTGCTCTATGATGCCCTCAGAGCAGGCCCAAGTTGTTATGGAGCCCTGCGCATAGTTTGATTTGAAGCTTTTCCGTCAGCTTGACCAAAGAGGATATATCAAATGCAATTTAACACAAACCTAAAAATCATTTTCTTATATAAAAAGGATAGAAAAGAAAAATTGAAAGACCAACTATTTGTAGGGAAAAGAGCTCTTCACTTTTCAGAGATGGAATAAAAACAACAAATATGTCATATTAAAAGCAAATGCATTTGTTAGTGATAAACATATCTCACAGGCTAGTCCATATTAATCTGTAGGAAACACTCACCCGTTGTTCTGTCGTCATGGGGGAGCATCACGGCGGCTTTGTTGTTGTTTGTTGCTTCCAAATATTCTGACAGTGCTCCTGGGGACACGTGATGGAATGAGTTGAGTTTATTTTAAAAACTTATAGCAAACTGTAACTTTTGCAAGGGAACAAGACCCAAAGTCGGTCTTACTAAATGAAACAGCTAACTGAAGTGTAACAATTTTGGACTATAACTGCAAAGAAATCAGAGGTCCTGATTCATATAGACGCAATGCAGGTTACATAGCACGTCAGTGGGATATGCTGAGGATCAGAGGACATCCCTCTGACTATGTGACTAGCACAGTCCGTCAGGTCAGGAATCCATGGTTACATTTATTCCAGAAAAAGCAGCCAAATCAGTAACAACTTATCCTTATAGTATAACTTTAGCTAATGCAGCATTTTTACATTACAGCATGAAAGCATCAGGACTATGTAGGAACATGACTCACACATGAACATCACATATGTTCTCTGGTCTGCTTGTTTGAGTCTTATCTTTAATGAGGTCATAAAATACAGTAATTGTTGATGGAAACATACCTTTATCCCCCTGCATTTGTTCCCTTTGTGTTATCTTTTGCTTTTCACACCCAGAGGCGTACATCTTTTTTTTTCACTGCTAACACTGACAATGTGTCTGAGTGTGACCCCAGCCCTGACACAGACAGCAGAAATGGTAAAACCAGAGAAATGATAACACATTTATCAAAATATTTCACTTTGGTTTGCATGATCACTGATTTATCACATGCAAAACAAGTGCACATTTATCAGCCCGTCTTGCGTGACTTTAAAGGACTCTTGAGTTCCCAAAGAGTCCTGTGGCCTTTGGACCAGTGTGAATGTTTACTGTTACGTCTTATTAGTATTTTAAGTATTTTATTTATTGAATTTTATTGTTTTATTTATATTTTGATATTACTAGGGATGATGCAATGATCGGGGACCATTCTTAATTTCGTTGTACCTGTGACAATGACAATAAAGTTTCTGATTCTGAAAGTTAACCATTTAATAGCAATTTAAACAGTGTTACACCAGGTTTGTCTAAAAAAATAAAATATGAGGAAAGAAAAAAGGGTAATATTGACTCCAAAATTAGCAAAGACAGTAACAAGTGAAAGCTAACAGTTGCACAGAGTGGTATTTTATATACAAAACCATAGCAGCACAGATTTACATTCATGATCAGTCCAGATCGCTCTGTTACACAGCAAAGACCATAACATTCAACCTCGTATGATGCGAGCATTAGGATTGCACAGACATGACAAAATGTTTGTTTCTGATATACAAAGAGTCTCCATTAGAATACTATTTCTTCCCTCTTTTATTCAAGGGAATTCAAGGGAATTTTTTTTATGGACATTCCTCATGTCCACAAAAAAATAAACATAAAAATCAAAGTTTTACACCCAGGGAAATCATACATAAAGAGAATTTGGCGATTCACTCCAAAATGTCTTATGTTTGGGGCCAATTTTGTGAGCAAACGTCAGTCACGGTACGTCGTTAAGGCTACAAAGAGCAACAGTAGCTCCTTCAAAACTGGAGAGTGACCGCAAGGTTTAACTTCTCAAATACAAAAGCATTTTCTTGAGGACCAATAAGATGGATCGCCTTGTAACAGCATGGCTGTTATGAGCCTGTTTGGAATGGGACTCTAGCTATAGATAAACTTTTCAGTACCATTACTGTCAGATTTCTTCCATCATAGTATCATTTATACATTACTGCAAACTGTCGGTAATTTATCCACCTGTGCCAAAAGGATGTCTGAATATATCCGATGAAGCATTTGTTTCTGCTTTTCAACTTTGAATCGAATCCTGAATTAATCTGTGCCACACTATTTTAACAAACAGACTGTGCGATGATTTTTCACGACATCTTCCAACATCTTTTTGCAGTTCCATCTAATATTTAATTGAAAACTATTTTTTTGTATATTTTTCTGGATTTTGTTTGAGCAGTTTTTGAAAAATGAATTCTTATTCTGGATATTATTACATACAATTCAAAAATATGTTTTCTTTACAAATAACTAGAAGAAAGACATAACGCTCAAGCGGCACATCGGGCCCACATGCTGAACAATGCAGGAGAGCAAAATTAAAGGTGCTGTGAGGGTTAACTCAAACAGCCTGCATGCGAAAACAATTTTGCTCGAAGTAGACAAGAAATAAATGACTCCACGCTTGTCAGCATAATTTTGGCACAAATGACACCCCATAAACTGAGCAGAATGTGTTTTAGTGGAATACAAACCATAGGCCAGTAACTGTGCTCCCATGTAGAAAACATTCAGATGAATATCTTAATGTGCAGCGTCTATACTCTAAATTTACTATGTGCCATTTATTGCAGTGCTGGGCTATGAAGCCTCTCCGCGGAGAAACCAGTGCGTTTGACTTGAAATGAAGGCTCACCTGTGCGACTTCACAGGTTCAGTTCAAGTTTCTGGGTGTCATTTTTAATCTGCTTGTCGAAGGACAGCCTCTTGTAGGTCTCCGTGGTCACCTGCTGCAGATAGAAGATATCTATATCTGGTCGTTTGAGGGGTGGGAGTTCAAGACTGCCGCAACGTTTAAAGATGTTCCGCAGCAGGAAAACCAGCAGCACGCCAACCAGCACGATGAACACGGCGATGCCCAGGACGCTGCCGGTTTTGATGTAGGGGGGCAGTGAAGCCGGGTGAGCGCTGGTCGGCTCGCCGGTTGATGTGACGCTCAGAGAGGGAGAGCCTGAACCATCGTCTTCTTCCTCCTGCTCCTCGGACAGGCTCACGCACTTGCCATTGTCCCGCAGCTGGAAGCCTTCGCGGCAGCGACACCTGTAACCACCGAAGAAGTTTTCACACACGTGGTCACACATACGCTGAGCCTCGCATTCGTCTATATCTGTGCAAAAGTCTGTGCCATTCACGTTGTCTTTAACGTAGCCATCGAGGCATTCGCAGCCTGCCGATGAGCTGCATCTGCAGTCCCTCTCGGTGCAGTTCAGCGTACACTTGGTGGGGTCTGACGGTGACACCATGTAGTCGCGCCGGCACACACACCGGTACTCCCCGTTGACTTTAGCGCAGTCGTGCTCGCAGGATTTACAGATCGTTAGATTTAGGCACTCTCCCTCCTCCAAAACGAAGCCGCGAAATCTGCACCTGCACTCATGGCCCTCGCGCGTACTCACACACATCTGATCAGCTGTGCATGCCTTACATTCATCCGCCTCCACGGAGCTCTTCCCCCCCTGGCCCAGGTCGTGGCCTTTGTTGCACTTGCACTGGAAGCTGTCATCCTCCCGCTGGGATCCTTGCGCGCACTCTGTGCACGGGCCCGTGGAGCAAGAGACGTTATTACGATGGAGGACGAGCCCGGTGGGACAGACGCAGCCGGGTACTGAAGAATCGCACTCGTGCTCGCAGCCTCCACCCATCACCTCACATTTCCACGGAGCTTTCAGCCACTTGTCGTAGCACAAGTGCTTCGACTCTGGATATTTACCACCGAGCTTTCGTTCTTCAGCCGTGGTTCCCAGTGGAAAAACCTCCGAATAACCGAACTTAAAGGTCTCTAAGGTGTAGTTCACAGCTGTGCCTGGCGACGCATTCAACGGACTGCAATACTCGGTCATCTGGCAGAAAAATCCGTCCAGCTTTTGGTCTTGACACGGAACCCTCACCACTGTGGCGCCCTGTCCCTCCATCATGGAGACCACGGGGCAGTTCGGACCCGTCTCGTCGCTGCTCTGGAGCCAGTATTTACCGCTGAGTCTGGTTAGAGTCGTTAAATCACCAAGTTCTTCCTTGGAGTTTAACTGATATAAGCTTCCAGAATATTTTTCACACGTTTCTTTGGCGCCTCGAAGATCCACGGGAACGTCGAAAGCACAAAATGCATTCTTGGAACAACGTACGAGCGGAGAGAGGAGAGCTTCCTGCAGCCCGCAGAGGAAAAGCAGAGAGAAAAGAGGCATTCTCGGAATCATGGTGCCGATCTTAAAAAGGCCTCCGATTGTGACTCCGGTGGCGTGAACGTCTGTGTTTGACGACCTGAAGCTGATACAGCGGCTGAAAGCTGAGCACAATCCCCATTTATAAAAGCGTCGACCTGTTTTTTCTCGTCTCCTTCGTTTTTTTCCTCCCCTCAGGTCCAGGCGAGGAAGGAAGTTCAGTCGGGTCCGTCTGATTTCGCAGCCCCCACGCTCTCCAAAAGGCTTGCCCATCAAAACACGCGCTCACGAACTTTGAATAAGGTGAATTAAACCCCGCACTCTCCTCCCACCGGTGACTCTTCTCTCTCTCGATTTGTACAAAAACGGGAAGTTTAAATCTCTGAGACGACTCGAAAATCTGCCCCTCAGAAACGGACATCACATGTTGTATTTGCGATTACGCGTGTTGAATTTAACGTAAAATGCCATGTTTGTATTTTAAATGATTGTGTGATATCTAAATAAGAATTCTTTAAGTGGAGGCAGTTAAAGTAAGTACCAAGGCAAAAAAACAAGAGAAAAGTTCGAAATAGAGAGATCCTGGGCTCAGTACCAACCTTTACAAATCAATAAAATAAAATAAAATAAAATAAAGTAAAATAAAATAAGCGTCTTAGAAAGGCTGATTGCAAATTGTTCTTAAATATTTTAACACGATATATTTGAAGAAATCTAAACGAACCGATGGAATTAAGGCTTATAATCAACACGAGTCATTCAAACGCTATTTACTCAGGATAAATAGAGATTTATTAGTGTAAATAATAAACAGTATTGTTATTCAAATCTTAATTATTACATTTTACTTTACTTTTCTGCTTCTGCGTCATCGCAGACCCCATCAGCAGCTGGTCTTCCAACACAGGAGGCTCATACAGTGTAGCACAGAAAAAAATAGTGACTTGGTGGTTGTACATGTAGCTGTTAAAGAAGCAGATATTTCCTACAGGAACAGGGCCAGAGCTAAAGGTGGCCGTGACCACCTCAGACTGAAAGGTAGCCAACCCCACATTATCTGATTTTTTTCAGTAACAGACATCCAGCTGTCAGAATTTGGTTCGTCTGAGAGAAGGATCAATCAATCAATCAATCAATCAATCAATCAATCAATCAATCAATCAATCAATCAATCAATCAAATTTGTATTTCCAATATATAAGTAACAAGTTTTAATACACATAAAAAACAAATGAATATTAATTCAAAGAAGGCCATCACATTCACATGAAAAAAAAAGTTGACAGTTTTCCAATGAAAAAGCATTAGCCTTATCTACCTCCATCTGCTTTGAGTATACTGTCAGTTTAATAAATATTGATAAATATGTAAAGAAAACAACATAATTGATATTTCTTTATAATAATAATAATAATAATAATAATAATAATAATAATAATAATGGATTGGATAGCGCTTTTCAGGGCCCTCAAAGCGCTGTACAATTCCACTATTCATTCACACACTGGTGGAGGCAAGCTACAGTTGTAGCCACAGCTGCCCTGGGGCGAGGCTGCCATATCACGCCATCGGCCCCTCTGGCCATCACCAGTAGGCGGTAGGTGAAGTAAATGTCCTGTATTTTGTATAGCGCTTTACTAGTCCCTAAGGGCCCCAAAGCGCTTTACACACCCATTCACACACTGGTGATGGCAGCTACATTGTAGCCACAGCCACCCTGGGTTGCACTGACAGAGGCGAGGCTGCCATATCGCACCACCGGACCCTCTGACCACCACCAGTAGGCAATGGGTGAAGTGTCTTGCCCAAGGACACAACGACCGAGACTGTCCGGGGCTCGAACCGGCAACCTTCCGGTTACGAGACGAACACCCAACTCTTTGAGCCACAACCGCCACAATATTTAATGGTAAATATCCAAACTTACAGTTTTTTTTATAAGATGTTATTATATACAATAACCCAATAACCCAATTAAATGTACAGCAAGACCCTACCTCATCATGACAGTTTTTATTTATATAATTTTTATAAACTGATTTACATTTGTACATCACGACCATGTTTTTGGTTCAGATACACCCTTTCGCTAACACTAACTGCACCAGCTTGCCTTTTAAACTGGTTCTGGGCTCTGAAAGCTCCTTTCCGCCGCTCCCCCATTTGCAGGCGGTTGCCACAGCAGATGGACCCACACGCTGGTGCAGATTTTTAAGCAGGATAGTCTTCCCGACACAACTCTTCCAGGGATTTGTGTCTCATGCAATACCAGGGATATTTATGTGATAGGCACACGTGTTAACCACTGCATTAAAAAACAGTCCTTTTCTAGGCTGATTCTGTGAAGTCTGTTTTGGAAAGGGGAAGGATTTAAAAAAAAATACATGACAGGTGATTGGATGGATGAAAAAAATGGTTATCATCATATACCACAGGGTAACCAGTCAGATCAATGACCCATGAGGAGAGAAGAAGAAAAGACAGTTATGATGTGAGGAGCTTTAAAGGGCGTAGAGGTGTCAGCATAGCTGGCTGTGTAGTCAAACATGTCATTACAAAGTTCTTGCTCCCTGTATGGAAAGATTGCATACTGATTGGTCCAAACTCGATGTTCCAAGCTGAAGTCTGGAGCAATCGATTTTCTAATGACTGAGATCTCAGCAAGCTTGTGATAAGCTCCTCCAGTAAATTGTCTCATTCTAAGTACCTTAGAAACGTTAGATACTATCTGCAAAGCCAGAACATCTTACTATTCATCACTGATTGAAGAAAATAAGAACAACCCCAGGTTTCTCTTCAGCACTGTAGCCAGGCTGACAAAAAGTCAGAGCTCTGTTGAGCCAACCATCCCTTTAACGTTAACTAGTAATGACTTCATGAACTTCTTCACAAATAAAATTCTTATCATTAGAGAAAAAATTACCAGTAATCATCCCACAGATGTAATATTATCTACAGCTACTCTTAGTACCATTGATGTTAAGTTAGACTCTTTTTCTCCAATTGATCTTTCTGAGTTAACTTCAATAATTACTTCCTCCAAACCATCAACGTGTCTTTTAGACCCCATTCCTACAAAACTGCTCAAAGAAGTCCTGCCATTAATTAATCTTCGATCTTAAATATGATCAACCTATCTCTAATGATCGGCTATGTACCACAGGCCTTCAAGCTGGCTGTAGTTAAACCTTTACTCAAAAAGCATCTCTAGACCCAGCAGTCTTAGCTAATTATAGGCCAATCTCCAACCTTCCTTTATATCAAACATCCTTGAAAGAGTAGTTGTCAAACAGCTAACAGATCATCTGCAGAGGTTTATTTGAAGAGTTTCAGTCAGGTTTCAGAGCTCAGCACAGCACAGAAACAGCTTTAGTGAAGGTTACAAATGATCTTCTTATGGCCTCTGACAGTGGACTCATCTCTGTGCTTGTCCTGCTAGACCTCAGTGCAGCGTTCGATACTGTCGACCATAATATCCTATTAGAGCGATTAGAACATGCTGTAGGTATTACAGGTACTGCGCTGCAGTGGTTTGTATCATATCTATCTAATAGACTCCAGTTTGTGCATGTAAATGGAGAGTCCTCTTCACACACTGAGGTTAATTATGGAGTTCCACAGGGTTCAGTGCTAGGACCAATTCTGTTTACATTATACATGCTTCCCTTAGGCAGCATCATTAGAAGACATAGCATACATTTACACTGCTATGCAGATGACACCCAGCTCTATCTGTCCATGAAGCCAGATAACACACACCAATGAGTTAAACTGCAGGAATGTCTTAAAGACATAAAGACCTGGATGGCCGCTAACTTTCTGCTTCTTAATTCAGATCAAACTGAGGTTATTGTACTCGGCCCTGAAAATCTTAGAAATATGGTATCTAACCAGATTCTTACTCTGGATGGCATTACCTTGGCCTCCAGTAACGCTGTGAGGAACCTTGGAGTCATTTTTGACCAGGACATGTCCTTCAACGCACATATTAAACAAATATGTAAGACTGCTTTCTTCCATTTGTGCAACATCTCTAAAGTTAGAAATATCCTGTCTCAGAGTGACGCTGAAAAACTAGTTCATGCATTTATTACTTCCAGGCTGGACGACTGTAATTCATTATTATCAGGAGTCCTAAAAACTCCACTGAAAAGCCTTCAGCTGATCCAAAATGCTGCAGCAAGAGTCCTGACAGGGACTAGAAAGAGAGAGCAGATTTCTCCTGTTTTGGCTTCCTGTTAAATCCAGAATTCAAAATCCTGCTCCTCACATACAAGGTCTTAAATAATCAGGCCCCATCTTATCTTAATGACCTTGTAGTACCATATCACCCTATTAGAGCACTTCGCTCTCGCTCTGCAGGCCTACTTGTTGTTCCTAGAGTATTTAAAAGTAGAATGGGAGGCAGAGCCTTCAGTTTTCAGGCCCCTCTTCTGTGGAACCAGCTTCCAGTTTGGATTCAGGAGACAGACACTATCTCTACTTTCAAGATTAGGCTTCAAACTTTCCTTTTTGCTAAAGCATATAGTTAGGGCTGGACCAGGTGACCCTGAATCCTCCCTTAGTTATGCTGCAATAGACGTAGGCTGCCGGGGGATTCCCATGATGCATTGAGTTTTTCCTTTCCAGTCACCTTTCTCACTCACTATGTGTTAACAGACCTCTCTGCATTGAATCATATCTGTTATTAACCTCTGTCTCTCTTCCACAGCATGTCTTTATCCTGTCTTCCTTCTCTCACCCCAACCAATCACAGCAGATGGCCCCGCCCCTCCCTGAGCCTGGTTCTGTTGGAGGTTTCTTCCTGTTAAAAGGGAGTTTTTCCTTCCCACTGTCGCCAAAGTGCTTGCTCATAGGGGTCATATGATTGTTGGGTTTTTCTCTGTATGTGTTATTGTAGGGTCCACCTTACAATATAAAGCGCCTTGAGGCAATTGCTGTTGTGATTTAGCGCTGTGTAAATAAAATTGAATTCAATTCAATTGAATACTCTTTAAAAAAAACCTTCCAGGAGAGACACTGACTCATGCACCTTGAAGCCAGGAGAACACCCTTAGGTTCAAGAATAGCCTCAGAGGCTGAGAGGCAATTGTCTTATTTATGGTCAGAATAAATCAGTCATCAGTCGTAAGCTGGTATTCCCTCAGATAGACAGGCTTTTCCTTAGAGTGGATGGTGCTTGCAGAGGAAATAGGAACAGGAGGGTTGAATAAACTTCCCATACTGTGACAGGATGCAGAAACAAAATGTGACTGCATTACATATATGCGCTATGTTGTTGGTTGAGCTGCTTGGTTTCTAGGTGGAGTATCAGTCACAGTGATTAGAATGATGCCCCCACTGAAGCGACTGAG